TAATACAAATATATAAATATAATAAATAAAACAATCTACTATACACATATACACACATATAGTTTATACGACACAGCATAGAAACTCACGTTGAAATAAGCTTAGTAATGGCACTTATATCATTTCGCTATGGATATTCCGCAATTAAATAGAAATTCCAATTTCGTGTTACAACGCAACTCAACTCCGCGACATCTCCGTCATTTACAAATATTAAGCTTGCTTGAGTGTCAAGCTTGCGCGGGCGTATCGACATGTATATCGTGAATTATTATCTTTCTTCCCTCTCCCAGCCTCGGATATACCAGTTGTAAAAGATTTTTCTTCGGACGTGGGAGTTAAACCGCTCACGTTCCATCGTTCTCTCGCTTATTTTCCTATTCGGCATATGACGTAATTTTTCTATCCTATTGAGCCTTGGAAAATGAGAAATATTCAAGGAACGCATGCACTGCGAATCAGAAATCTGGTATCGCCGGCCACAAACATGGCACCGAAATAACTTCTGCACGAAATGCTTCCGCACGTCGATGTTATCGCATCTCGATGATAGCGGATTTTGCACGCGAGTTGTCACATATTCAGCGGATCTTTCATAGGATAAAATGAAAGAAACGATATATGACATTTATATGAGTCGCAATCAATGGAACGATACTATGATATTCTTTTCTACTCTGAGAAAAAAAATTATTGGAAAAAAATCAATACATATGTGAAAAAAATCAGGTCTTTCTTTCTATTTTATCTTAATAACTTTTTTTCATAAAAAAAATTTATAAAAAAATATTCAAAACTTTATTTTATTTTACGTGTAATAGTTTTGCACAAAAATGTGTACAAATTTCATCTTTTTATTAATTTTTACGATTTATTCACTATCATATATTGTAATGTGTTGGCACATGTTGGCAATATTGGCTTTTACAAGAGAACTATTCGAGTTCTGATATATAAGGAATTTATGTGAAAACATAGGAAATAATGTGTTGTCATGCTTTTCAAGGTAAGGCGAATATAAGGAAAATATTTCACGCGAACTTTGTTCACACACCTTACTCAAACTTAGCTCGAACTTCAACTCACCAGTAGTATAAATCGATGATTATCTTTCCAGCGCAATCATTAGTGTTACATTATCGGGTTTATAATGTTCGTGTCAATTCTTTTAAATAACTTTTACCACGGTATTAGTTTTGTTTTATAATGTTGTATAATTTTGGCAAATGTAAAGTTGGTTTTGAGTAAAATCTTTATATACCCAATGTGTGCAAATTGTTCGTATATTGTTAATAAATTTCAAAGATATACGTGCTGGCTTCCTTGATTTAAATATTGCTTAAAGACAACTTATCGAATGTGAATCAAATTACTTTTATTATAATATTACTGCAGATGATTTTAAAGCAATTGTTATTTCAAAGCATCACATTTTAAATAACGTACAATCAATATAAAATATAATCTTTAAAAAATATATAAAAATATTAAGTTTCTTGTTTTAAATAAAATATTTTTGGTATGTTTTAATAGTGAGTCAATTACATTAAAAATAAAATTTTTTTCAATCAAATATATTTTGTTAATTTTGATTTTTAAACTTATATAAATATATATTTTGTTTCCAAAAATGTTTTGTTATATTAAATAAATTATTAGTTGCATGTAATAAAAATTATTATTTTTAAAATACATTAAATTTTTAATATGAAAAAATATTTATTCAAATAAAGAAAACCTGTGTTTTTAGAAACAGTAGCCAAAAATTGTAAGGCGAATATAAGGAGGAAAATATTTCACGCAAACTTTGTTCACACACCTTACTCAAACTTAGCTCGAACTTCAACTCACCAGTAGTATAAATCGATGATTATCTTTCCAGCGCAATCATTAGTGTTACATTATCGGGTTTATAATGTTCGTGTCAATTCTTTTAAATAACTTTTACCACGGTATTAGTTTTGTTTTATAATGTTGTATAATTTTGGCAAATGTAAAGTTGGTTTTGAGTAAAATCTTTATATACCCAATGTGTGCAAATTGTTCGTATATTGTTAATAAATTTCAAAGATATACGTGCTGGCTTCCTTGATTTAAATATTGCTTAAAGACAACTTATCGAATGTGAATCAAATTACTTTTATTATAATATTACTGCAGATGATTTTAAAGCAATTGTTATTTCAAAGCATCACATTTTAAATAACGTACAATCAATATAAAATATAATCTTTAAAAAATATATAAAAATATTAAGTTTCTTGTTTTAAATAAATATTTTTAAAATACATTAAATTTTTAATATGAAAAAATATTTATTCAAATAAAGAAAACCTGTGTTTTTAGAAACAGCAGCCAAAAATTAAAATATATTTTTTTAAAGGTAGTAATTTAGTATATTAAAGATGAAAAATTTAATATAATTTTTTTATTTGCAAATAAAAGCATACTTCGCTTTTATTTTATATATATTTTACTAATTCAAATATTTGCTGCTCGATTGAAATAATTAATTCCTTTGCAAGAATTTAAATAAATAATTTTTTTAAATAAAAAAAAATTTCTTTGGATTCAGGATTTTTTTTTCAATGTACAAATTGCCACGTGTGCGTGCGCGCATGTGTGCGATGAAACAAAAAAAAAAAAAAAAACAAAAAGTCCATAATTTTCTGTGGTATATGGACTAGAATCTTTCGTGTTTGTGGTATATATACGCAATCGTACAAATGCAAATTCGCGCAGGGAATGCAAGTTTCTGAGGAAAATTCAATAAACTCCACCGCGCCACCGTCTTGCTATCTTCTACCATTGTTCATCGCGCCGCGCGACACGCTATCATATGGTTCACCGCGGTAAAGGGAACAAAGGAACTTTCAACGAAAGTGGCTATATTTGCTCCGGAGAATCGATACTCTCATGGTGCATATCTCAGCTCTCAAGTCTTTTACATCTTTCTTATTATGGCGGCGCGTATGCGTTGCGCCTCGTGTGTCGCGCATTAAAAAGGGAACAAAGCTGCTGGAAAATGTAGTCCAAAGAGCACTCGCATGACGTTCCGGCACGCGATGTAAAAAGGCAAAAGAGATGAAAAGAGACACATGTGTATTGTATATATTGAGGTAGTTGACGAGATCTTTTTCTGCTGGTATAAATGGTTCTATTTTTCTCAGCGGTTATCTGCTGCGTGGTAGATGGTCGCCTCGTAAAAAAAAAAAAAATGAAAGAAAGGAACCGAATCGAGTGCGATTGCGTTACGTCGATGTCGGCGATCAATCGACGACGCTCGTGACGCGCGTACATTGTGTATGTATCGCTAGCGTTGCTGAACGCACATCGGCTTATTAATAACGAAAACAGCGGTAACATCCCCGCAATGTCCCCATCCGTTATGCATAGGCTAGGTAATTAAGTAATTCAGTCCGCTTGGTTACGCTACTCACATAAATTATGCAGAGTTCGCGCTAAAATGGCATATTTCGCCGTGAGTTCTTAGTTAGGTGTATCGAAATTGTCAACGGGTATGATTAATTAAGCATTAATGCAAATGCGTGTTTTGACCTTCATCGATACGCGGATAAATGTATTTTGAACGCCCATCGATATGATTATAAAAATAATGAGAAGCTACATTCCATATGTCAAAATATAGTGCATGTTACTTTGACATATGGGATGGTACTTACGTTCTTTAAATTTAAACATTGAAACAATTACCATATTGTTTAAAAATTCTTTAAAACCATTGTTTAAAAATGAAAGATTTCAAATCACACGTTAAATTGCATAAAGTACAGATAAACGAGAATTTGATATAACACTGTACGACATACAAAACTAGTATATCGATACAATATTAATATACGATCAAATATTATAAAAAAAATTGTGATCGCGTTCGATTGATATTATTGATCGTATAAAAGACGCGATGGGAAAGTTGCGGAAGAGGAGAAGAAAAAGTATAGGACCACGGACAACTCACGTCAGAAGCAGGCGCTTGCAACAGGCTGCAACTGGTCGGCGCACGGTCAATTGCTCTTGGCGGATCGTACTCTCCGTCAATTAACCGTCACCGTTAATTAGTGCACGCTCTCCCCTGAGTTCCAGCGTCGTCGATGAGCAACACACTAGGCAATCGCGCAAAATCGCGCCGGTCCGCCGGGGAACCCCCGTGGCGAGCTGCCGCCACGATATCCGTCAACTGATAAGCCGGTGCTGACTGGGTGCTGCCTGCTGGTGTATGGTGTGTAGTCGCCACTACCTCAGTAACTGAGTCGCGCGCGCGGCTCAACTCGGCGGAAGAGCGGCGATGGGTAGAGAAGGTTGGCTGGCTGGGTGGAAGGGTGCGAGAGCTTCCCCTCGTACGGTCCGCAGGGATGTATCAAGCTGCCAAGCGTGGAGAGAGAGAGGAAAAAGATAGGAAAAGAAGTAACGATATGGGAGAGGGTGGATCAGGTGAAAGTTGTGGAGGCGGCCTGGAGGATGGAAAAGAAAGGGAAAGAAAGAAAGACGGAGAGAGGTCTAATAAAGAGAGGGATTGTCAGGCGCAACAGGCGTGGACGTAGATAAAACCGGACGGAGGCATATGTCGTGCCTTGTCGTCATCGTCGTCGTCGTTGTCATCGTCGTCATCATCGTCATCATCGTCCTCACAGCTCTCCGCTGTGATTGAAACTGTCCCAAGCATGTACTGACTTTTTATCGTATCAACCGGGACTAGATAATCGTGCAAATTGAACGGCGCGTGGCAGCCAAGAAGTAGGACATTCTGCGATGAATACAATGGTAGGCGCTCTTTACAAACCGTTATCGCGTAGCTGGGTAATTTTGTAAAATGCATCCAAAGTAGGTTTACGAGAAGGATTAATTTCTTCAATTTATCATTAGATCACTCCCTATATATGTACACACTCACATATGTACGTATGTAACAAAGTAAATATATACAATAAATAAATGAATAATACATACATGTATGTATGTATATAATCTATATTTTGTTACCTTCTAATTATCACGAGCAATGATAACGCATATCAATTACACAACAATCGATTATTCTTTTTTGTTGTTGGCCTCTGGACTCTTGATCGAGCCTTTATTTCTGTGACTTTAGGGCTTGAGATAACCGTGTTGAAAGTCAGGGATTGAAATATATGTACATAAAGCAGATTTCTCGTACGTCACGCGCGTTTATTAGGTGCAAACTTCGCAATCGCGTCTCGATTGTCTCTCTCAAGCGTTCGCCGCTTGCGTGCATGCGGCTTGAAGGCAAACAGGTGTCCTTGTTCTATATCGTACTTATTGACGCGTCGCACTTCGCAGTTGGCGCGGGTAGTCTGGACCCCGGAGGGTCGATGATCAGGAAAAGCCCGACTTTCTCACGGGCTTGCCGGATTCTAGGTCACGCAGCGAAAATTTTACGCGCTGCCGTGTAAGCATGCGCCGGTTTTGCCACGTGCCGGCCCAAGTCCTTATTGTCATTCTTCCGTCAAAGAAGGTAGAAAAAATATTTTGCCGGAATTATACTTGTGTGTGTGTTTTAGGAGATAATATTCAGAGCGAGAAAGCATATCCAGAAAAAATATCACGATGATGGAAAGAGTTTGGTGGATGAATCTGACTGGGAAAAGGATGAATTATTTATGCAAGCTAGTTTGAAGAGATTTTTATTTCTTATCATATTTATTATACTCTCTATGCAATGTAATGAACGTAAACAAGGGAAATTATATGTTGCTTTTGTTATTTCTTTTTCTATTATAAAAATTGCATCAATGATAATATTTATCGTAAAAGGATGAAGCTTCCAGTAATAATGATAATGTTGTGACAGAATACCGTGTTATTTAGAAAAATAAGTTATTTATACAAGCTCAAAAAAATATTAATTAAAATAAAAATTAAAACGTTTTACGATAATGCTCGATTTAGTTGATAAAGGCCAATTATAAAACAGAAAGGATATAAACATACTAGAGAGAGTAAATATTAAGAAATGTCAATTTTAACATTTTAGGATTAATATATTAAGTGCATCATAATATATTTCGCGTGATAGACAAACAATGAGTATGTTCAAATTATCTATTTATTAGGATTTATTAGCACAACAGTAAATTTATTTTTCTAAATACAAGCGTTCATAAATTTGGAGAACTGAAAAGTGCCTTGGAATGTATTTAGTAATATAAATTTGCGCTGATTGTAATTAATTGAATCTTTTGTTTTTCATCATAAAATTAAAAGAAACAATAAAGCATTGCCTAAAACATTATTTTAATAAATTTATGTATAGATGCATCTAATTCTATAGAAATTGATCGATAGATCAGTTGGTTTCTCGTTCTCGCCGAGATATACTTTAATTTGTTGGAATCATTCCAATAATCGCTATAAAATGATCACATAGTAAAATTGTCAGCTTAAGAGGATGCCGGACCGTCCTGTTTTACCGGCCATAATAATTATATATTTGCTTAATATAAGGGTTTTGCGGTGTGTACGTGCAAAATAGGATACCTCTCCACTCGGAAATGCATGAAGGAATATAAGTGAACGTTTGAAAATGTATTTGAAAGCCTAGTAAGAAACATTTCGGTGTGCAAAATGTTGCATAGTAAAATCTTTTTTATAAAGCTTCTAAACTCACTTCTCGAAGTTCACTAATACTTTTTGATAAAATGCCGAGTGCGGAGTTCACTTGTTAGGCACGTGCAGGTTGCAGGTTTTTTATATTAAGTAAATGTTGACGGCAGAAGCCGATAACAAAACTGTAATTTTTTAATTTTTTTTCACTTTTCATATGAAATCATAAACCCCGCACTCCGTTATTATGTATACTTTAATTATGGAAAAGGATTTGTTGATATCTATAATCAACAAAAATATTTTGCAATCCTACTAATATTCGCATTCTGTCGGTATCCGGCATCCTCTTAATATGCATGACCTTTTGTTGGAAATCCAGGATTTAATGTATAACGTATGGTTTATCATCCCATGACGGTATAAGAGGTTTCTTTCATATCATTGTACTGTTGAGGCTAGTTTTACCGATACATTACCGCTCTTATCATTTGATATACTTGAGAGAATTCTAATGATATATTTTTAATTTTCAATTATTATTAGAATGCGCTTTATAACATGTTCAATTTGCAATTGTTTCTTCTCTTTTCTTTTGTCAAACCAAAAGAAATATTATAGAAGATAATGAGATAGCAATTGACAGCAAGAAACTATATAGAAGCATCACAGATAATTTCTTAATCTATTTTATTGCGGTTCGCAGAAAATGGGTTTGCAGTTTGGCAATTTACCAATTCGGATTCGTAGAGTAGTGTATTACAGTATATCACCCACGGAACAACGGGCTTGGGCAAAATCGATGACGCATGGAATACCTAATTTGGTAAATAGGGCAATGCGTGCGCTCCCGACGATGCTTCCAGGTATTTATGTAACTAAATATAAAAAAAATAGAAAAGACACACACATACAAAACAGAATGTTATATTTTTTATTATTTCTATAATTTATCAATTTTTGTAACCAAATTGCATATTATATTGTTATTAATGTATTGACATATTTTTGATAATTTATCTTATATTATTTTGCATTTAATTTTTTTCCCATATAATCTTAATTAAATATATCGATGTTTATTTTTAAAATATTAGCTTGCTTAATCTCTTGCTTTTAATCAACATCTTTTAATCTTGCTTTACTTAATCTCTTTTCTCTTAATTTCTTTTTAAAATTAGAAAAAATCAATGATATTTTGTATATATATACATATCATCAAAATTCAAATTCTCTAAGACCGCCGATTATTGCGTTAAAAGTAGACCACCGGAATAAGCTGATAGTGTACACATATCTATATAATCTAACTCTCCAGTATATTTATTTATAATAATGAGCGATGCGCGAACGTGACAACAATTTTACAACGTAACTTGCTGAAAGATTATCGTTCAAATATTAGACAAACACGGATTCATTACGGATTCATTTTATGGGGGTTTGTTTTGAAATGAATATGAGGATTGATTGGATACTCAAATAATTTTGATAACAATTCTATACTAATATCGTATATGCCATTATTTCTATAAAATCGCAATGTTGAAAATTTTTATTTGTACTGGTATGAGAGAGATGAAACTAGTATTAAAAATATTATTCATATACCAAAATTTTGATTTTATATTATATAATAGAAAGAAATGTGTCATAAATAGCAATATGATATCAAACAACATGTACAAGTATTTGTTTTGATTTCCATTTACGCACGGAGTGATATAATAAAACGCGCAGGATAAAAGCACACATTTGATCGATGGAAATACGTTGGTATGCTTGTTATAAAAACCACAAGACTCAATTTATAAAATTAATAGAATTGCTCTCAGTGACGTCACATTTATTCATAGAAATCGATATATATATATATTGAAATTTCTATTTTATTGAATATATTTTCTTTTTTCATGATTATATTTTTGATTATATATTTTTTGTTTTAGGTTTTATAATGTCGGTTGTAGTATATAAATGGTCTACTGCAACATATGATCGATATAATCGCAAGGATCCCAAATTATACGAGAATGACAAGTGAATGCAAGAATTGATCAAGCTATTTTTAAATTGACTTCATAATTAAAACTTGATATTATTGTCTCTCTTCAAAATTATTTTTAAAAAGATTAAAAATCTACTGAAAATAACAAAAATAAAAATTCTAATAAAAAAGCATTTATATTATGCGTGCTCGTATTTATATTATATTATATATATAATAAATATAAATGTCTAATATATTATAAGTAATTAGATATTGAAATGTAAATAATTTATTTTATAAGATATTAGCAGAGAGACAAACTGCTAATGTGATTCGTGTATGTACACACATTTACATGCATACGGCAACCTATTATTAGCTATTATAATAGTGTGGGAACAAGTTTATAATTACTCTACGATTTATGAAGTAATAGCGAACTTAATTAAACTTTGCTATGTATACTATATACTTCTGAATAGAATAATAATAAGGTTTGAAATGTGTTCCCTATGTTTTATCTGTGAAATACTCTATTTTACGATAAAAAATTTATTTGATACATTTATTGATTACAAAATCAATAATACGTATATTTTTTGTCATTCATATAATCACAAGTCATAAATTGTATGGCATACAATGGACAAAGAAATGCTAATAGTCTAAGGCACATATCAATGCCACTCCTCTTTTTATCCAATACGATTGCGGTTTGTCAGCCATTGCTAGAACGAAATTTGTGGAATGTCCCGTTGTTGTTAAAGTTCCAGAGCGTTCAATAGTTTTATATACAGGACATATATAAATTCCATGCGATGGAATTATATGATTAATTTCTGGTAACAGAAGAATTGGCGGCATATCTGGAATAACAAATAGTATGGTGTCAGTACGTGGTTAAAAGCAGCTAAAAAATCTATATAATTTGTTTAATAAACAAATTACACGAAAAGCTTCGAAAAGCACAGCTACTTATATCTCGGAAGCTTAGTATTTTTTTCAGTAATTTCGTATATTAATGTAAAGTTAACTGTGTCTGTGGGTGATATGAGAGATTATTAATATCTAACCAGTAAATAATTCCTTCGGTAAAGATTCTACAAGATAATTTCCATTCCATCGACAACCTTCCAGGAAAAGACCAAAAATAACACAACCGTTCAATGGTCTTCGCATTGGTTTGGAAGTTAAAATCTGTGACATATGTAACATTGTGTGTAACATTGATTTTTAAAATTGGTACGGATTTTAAAATTATTGCAAAATAATTTTTTGGAGACTGATTTAAATCTACATATATTAATTAAATGCTAACAATTAATTCAACAATATAATGTGCACGATATGATAAGTATTGCAAACTAGAATTTATATACAATAGTGATGAACGTATAAAATTTTATTTATATAAAATTTATTTATATATTTATCTATTTATATTTATTCATATATAGTTATTTATTTATATTTATTCATATTTATTTATTTATTTATTTTATTTTCTTATTTGTTTAAATTCTTTTTTTTTTAAATTTATATTGAATGAAAGCTTAAAAGCTCTGAAAGCTTAAAAGACATTGAAGCAGTATCAATCTTTATTTTGCTGTAATTATTGTGTGTCGTGCGTCACGTTACATTGACTTGTTAATCAATTAATTACAGGCCGAACGCAGATAATATAAGAAGGCGTACCTACCTTGTAGCTAAAATCGATTGTGTCAATGGATACTCTGTGTTTGCGTGCGAAGTTTTGTAACGTGCCAGTTAGAAAGGCTTGGGGAAAATAGAAACCTGATATCCAAAATGCAGAAGGTATACCGCGATCTCGCCAATCGCTTATAAATTTAATCCTGTCCTTTAAATCGAGGAACCATGCGGCTAATAAAAATGATAAAATATTTAATATAACTGTCTAGATTAAGTAAAAATTATAGTAAATTGTTAAATTTATATATTTAACATTTTTCTACCTAAAGATTTGATAGAAGGGTAACTCTTGCTTTGCCAATACGCAGGTATTTTATTGTTAAGAAAACTGATAGCTATCATTTCGAGCTGCTCCGACATAACGATTAAACCTTTTAAAGCCTTCAAAAGATTTTGCAACGTTGTTTGCATGATTTCAAGTAAGTCGTTGTACCGTTTGGCTTCTTGTAGTAATACAGTATTAAAAGATTCTTCGTATGATATAGGATATCTGAAATTCAATCCATTTTACTTAGAAATTTAATAAAGATTTTTAAAAATATATCTAACTCTCTTATTTATGCACTAAAATAAAATGTACCCAAAAAAATTTTTTTATTAAAGGGTTATTTATTTAAATGCTTGCAAAGGAATTAGTTATTTCAATCAAGCAGCAAATATATTTGAATGAGTAAAATATTAAATACAAGCGAAATATACTTTTATTTGTAAATAAAAAAAAATATATATTTACCTAAGTATATATTTATTTAAAAATAAATTTATTTATAAAAAGAATTAAAATTGACAAAATGTATTTATTTGATTGAAAAAAATTTTATTTTTAGAGTGTGTCATGAGAGATAATAATTCTTTACTATATCTCAGAAATTATATAAAGACAAATATATTTTATTATATATTAGAGAAAATAAAAATTGCAAGGAGCTTGTTATTTCAAACTACAAAGTAGTTTCACTTTAAAAGCGTATTAAATAATAAAATTTTAGATATCCAGACAATGATCAGAAAACAATATCCAATAGTACCTCGTTTCCATTGCGACTAAATCAAATAGTTTTGGCATCGTGGCCAACATGCCGTTAATTATTTGGATTGTTTCTTCCTCGATACTTGCAGCTACAATACTAATTTCTCTGGGTTGCATGATTAATAAAGTTGCAAGGCAGGTATACGCTTCTATTTGAGCGCATGTTATATCGGCGTTTGAATGCATGCCAAACAGTGACGGGTTGTCGTTTAAAGGAAGACCCTTTATATACTCTAGATAATCGTTGAATGACGCTGCAGCTGGTAGCTTCATATGTGAACATGCAACAATAGATTGAGATAACAAGATAAAAATATGGTTAAAAATAGTTCCTTTGTATAAATTTAGATTTATAAATGCTCTTATGTTGTGGAAAGCTTAGTGGAAATAGTGGAAATAGTTATATTTCAGAATACAAATTTTGAAAATAAGTAAAATAAATAAATAGAGCCTTCTGCTATTGAGGACCTAAATTCAAAGCTATGTTAATTTCAAAATCATAAATTTTTAAACAAAAAAAATTTTTGTTAATTTTTTTGTTATATTATATATATTAAAAGATATTTTAATTATTTTTTTAAATATATACACACTGTACAATGTATAAAAAATAAAAAATAAATAATATGATATAATTTAGCATTTAAATATTTTTTCGTAAATTTGTTTCATAAAATAGTATAGAGATAGTACAGAAAAAAATTATATTAATAGAATATATGATACGCTCTTTCTCTCTCTCTCTCTCTCTCTCTCTCTCTCTCTCTCTCTCTCTCAAACATTTCTTTAGACTAAATAATACATTTTAAAAAAAAATTTAATTTTTTAAAGAATTACCATGGTTTAAAATTTAGCTTTCCAATTTACGTTATAAATATTTTTTAAAAAATATTTGTAAACAACTATTTCCAATATAAAATTCCAATGTAAATATTACCCAAACAAATATTTTTTAGAAAATATTTGTTGTTTGAATATATGTATACCTGATGGTATATGTTTTGTTCGTCAAATTGATAATCTGGTGAGACAACATTGGCATTATAGTAATCTTCGAGAAGTGTCAAAACACATCGACGATCCCAATCATCTGTTATTCGTCCACCGTAATTAATATGTCCAGTAGTATATATGAGAACCTTTTATATATCCAAACAATAACCATTATTTAATAATGAAAAATATTATTTATAAGTTGAATTCAAAGATATCGATTAAAGAAAAACGATCTTTAATTTCTAAATATTTTTAAATTTATTAATATTTTTTAAATTTTATTTGTTTAGATTATTGCAGGCGGAGTTGATATTTCACTCATTGCCAGTATAATATTATGTAAAAAATTGCAAATGGAATTCAAAGTTAAATTTCGTAAATATTGCAAAATATGGAATCATGTATTTAATATAACAACTTTATATTTACCAGTGAAAATATGAAAGTTTCTGCTCTTTTATATTAGTTTCGCAATACTTTTGCGAAGAAAGAGAATATGTTTGAAACACGAATGCTTCGAGCTGTCTCTTTTGTTTACCTAATCAATATTTTTTGTATATTATTATGGTATAGTATTATTACCTTAAATGGCAAAGTATCATATTCCATAAGGAACATGTGTAGTTGCGACAAGCATATAGCTAAATCTCCGCTTGTAAATTCATAAGGTATATTAAAGCCAAGGGGGCCGAATTTTCGTCTTTCGAGTAATACGGAGTGGAACATACAAAGTGAGAATATAAGCCATTTAAGTAGAGGAGCTTTCGGATAATCAAATTCCAGAAGCTCTTGCAGTTCTGTCACTTGTGTCAGATACGCGCGAAGTATATTAGCCTATGTTAAAAACAGATAAAAATATAGAAAACAAGATAAACTTTATGAGTAAAATGTCTCGTAATATGCAAAAATGTTTCTATTTTCTTTATATTTATTATTATACTCTTGTAATAATTAATTATTTTTTCTGGTAAGTTAGTATAATTGGTATGTTTTTAATGCTAAAAATTTCGAAGTTACATATCTTTATGAGAAATGTTACGTTTTCGTATTTACATGCGTGATGTGTTTACAAATATTCTTTTTATTTAATTGTAAAAAAATAAAAAAAATAATTCTATTTGAAAAGTTTATACAGTTTTATATTCGAGACTTACACAAAAACAATGTAATATTGATACCTTTATACCTCGCGGTGGTTCTATCGTCATTTTGCTGCTGTTTTGAAGAATATTGATGGGAAAATCGGGAGAGGGTGCGGATGTCAACCACAATCGAAAATCTCGGTGAATATTTTCCTGTGATAATGTTTCAGCGAGAGATTCGAGTTGCGGCATCCAACTTGGTGCTAAGTGACAATTCTGCAAAAGGGTAAAAGTTTATTATAAATATTAAATACATATCTTATATGTAGAGAGCATACGTTAAATACAATTTTATTTATTTTTTTATATGATCGTTCAATATATCTCGATAGCAATTCAATAACACACATTGTCGAATTAATCTTTTTTTAGTACAGCATTATTTTACATTTATATGTATTTTTTTAAATATTTTCAATTCCAGTGCCACATTTTATATGAAAAAGATACGTTGTTTAAAGATATTAAAAAATTTTAAATGGTAGCGGATATATATTGGATATGGATCAGGAAATTCCGGGTATGTCGCAAAAAATTGCATATTAAAGGATCGGAGAACTAACCATGAATAAAAAGTTATTGCTTTTATATTATTCAGATCAAGCAATATTGTCTCCGATATAATATTCATTTCACGTGTAATACTATACATAATAATAAGTTTAGATGTTTCACTGAATGTAAAATTTTGTTATCTTCTGTTTTTTCTTCTTTATCGTTATGATAATATAAGCACATTACGCAACTCAATAAATTATTTCTCCGATTCTTTATGTTTTATATATATTATCAAAATGAGACTTTTTTTCTTTTATCATTACATTTTATCTTATCGGATAAAAAAAGACAAATTTTCATGTTATGTAAAAGGTTTAGTATCTTGAGTATATTATTTTGCACTCATCACAAAAACTATCTAGTCTTGTCTTTTTCTTACTCGCAAAATAAATAAAGTTATTTAATATTTTTATAATATTTTGATTTTAATATGTAATATAGAATACGACATTAAATAGATAGATAAATATTTATTTTTATGTATTAAAGCTTTTTGTAAAATAAATTTATTTTATCTAGTTATCGAAAGATAGCTTCTAACTTGAAAAAAGGCCCACGTGCCGTTCTGCGTTGATTGCTTCAGCATGGCCTGTGCCATGGGTCCTTGACCCTGGCCAAGAGATATCGAATACAATTTTTTGCTCATCTCTAGCTTGTCGGCAAACTTATATAACTCCGTGGCCGGATCTGTCCCGGGCGATAAGATAAAGACAATCGGCGTGCTGTTGAATGACTCCTCATAAATCGTCGACAATTCCGTTACCTGCGGTTCGACAAATTGTCGACCAATCGTCTTCGTCAGATAGATTTGTATAGCGTTGATAAGTTTATCGGGCCTTAGACATTTGAGTATCAGTAATTTTTCAAAATTGTCGAGTTTTGTCTCCCATGGTTCGGGAAATGGTGCTCTAAACAGGGCAAAATTGTATTTTTTTTAATGAAAGGGATCTTTATTTTAGTCATTTTGTAAACGACAGAATAAAAAATTGTTAATTTTTAATACAATATAAATTTTCTATATCTCTTTTCTGAAAAAATTACAGAAAATATTTGCAAATAAAAAAAAATAAGACCTCTTAATTTTTCAATAATAAATTAAAATATAAAATATAATCAGAGAGAGAGAGAGAGAGAGAGAGAGAGAGAGAGTGATTCGTTTCACATCAACTTAATTTATAATTTCTTTTTTGTTCCTTTTTCTACTAATAAGAGTGATATAATTATTTCTTAAATTGATTCAACATCATGATTATAATTTATCTTTATTGTATAAGAGAAGTTCGAGCTTAAATATGAAAAAAGATAATCTACTTACAAATGCGCTTCCTGAGTATCGAATATGTGTTTAAATTGGGTTAAAGAAAATTGGAAAGATGTGACAAATTTGTCAAACTTTGAAAGTCTCTCTAGAGCTTGAATCTCCCTCCAACATCTTGGAGTAATCCATTCTGGAGCGGGATTTGGCAATTCCTGAAGGGAAGGAAAAAACTTCGAATATACATCGACGATGTGCCAACGATGTGATAGATATTTTCTCATTTACGTATGCTGGAGACTATTTTTAGTTATTTGTTTTAACTTTTAGGAGAAACAATCGAAGATCAAAACAAATCTAATTCCAAAGTTTTTTACTTTAAGTGGAGATAGGTTAAAATAAATTTAATTCTATTTGACGTTTGATATATTTTCACATGCTTGATCTATATAGAACAGAGTGCGAAAAAAAATATTGGGATACTTCCATATTTAACATTTTCCTCCAAAACCTACTCTCTTCGAGATATTTTAGGGTCCCAGTATTTTTTTCGCACCCTGTATATGTTAAAGTTGTTGATGCTAAATATATTGAAAATAGAATAACGCATTTTATATAATAACAATAATTTTATATTTAATTTTTTAATTTCTAAGATGTACTGTATATAAATAAATTTTTTAATTTGTATATTATATACTTTCACGATACTGTTATTATTATGTACACAGTATAATTAATATTTTTTTATATGCGCAATTATTATATTCAATGTTTTAATTGCTAATAAATTACATATTATACTTGTATTTTTCCAAAACTAATACAATGATTAATTTTCAAAAAGTAAATTTTTATTAACTGTAAAATTAATATTAATATAGTTTCATATTATAACTATAAATTCGCTTATATAAGATTTTACCCGTATTGGTGCGGTCGTAGTAAGAAAATGTCGCCACTCTTTCGGATCGATTCTTTTATCGTCCAAGAGAATACGTCCGCAAACGAGAAAAGCGAAGTGCATTTTGTGTCTTTCGAATAAACTGCGACATACATTCGAAAAGAGCGCGAACGTGAAATTCTCAGTGATGTTTGCGATTCGTTTATTGATATCTTCTGTTAAAATTAAATTACAGTAAATTAAAAATTGCAAAATGTTGTATTTTAAAATAAATAAATAAATACATTCTCCAGTTTTTTTTTCAAAGGTCTTTAAACCTAAAAAAATGCTATGGTACACATCTATATAAAAAAGTTCAAGTTTGTATAATCTTTTTAACTACAACTTATACATATACCAGATAAAAGTGCATTAATGAACATTAAAATATAATTAATTATTAGACTATACTTACTATTTTTTTCGGTATTTAATATGCTATTGTTCAATATAATGATAAACCATTCCAGAGAATATTGATACATGATATTGATACGCTGAAGATCAACAATACAGAAAAATAGTATCTGTGCCCGATTTGCTACTGGCATGTATAATGATCTTGTTAAATCGATATTTGTTTGCGTAAGTTCGGCATTTTTCATTTTTATCTATATTAAAAGATCATTTAGATCATACGTTCGATAAATTTGTATGATAAGAAGAGAAAAAATCTCTAATTGTATTTTTAATATTAATTGGCTTTTGACTCAATTTCATTTTTAACGGACTAAATATATGTATCGAATTTACTTTATATCTCATTAATATTAAGATTTTATCGAAATTAATTCAATTTATATGTGCATGAAAATATCTTTTGGAATAAACTAAAAATATTTAATTCTTTTGATATTATTCGACCTTGATTTCTTCACTCTTGGTTTTGGAAGCCTCCAAGGTAAGAATTAGGTCAATATCGTCAACTATTGATTCTTCAGATATTGCGAGTCTGTGAAGAATTTTATCTTCGATCGCACCTAGATCACGTTTCATTTCAGCACTTGACACAATAAGCGTGTTTCTTTCCTGTTCGAGATCAGGACGTTCTTGTATTGTGACTAGAGAGAGCATCTGACCGACAAGAGCACTGTAAGATTACACATATCGTGGGATTAGATACAAATATAATATCACACTCAACCTATATCAATTGGTGTCGCGAGACAAGTTTCCTTTTCAAATAAGATTAAGTCAACTTTATTTACTTTATTATATTTTTAACTTAAAGACTAGATATATTGATTATTGAATCTTACATTAATTACATTAATTAATATTTTTTTGGAAAATAGAATAGCTAGTAAATTTTCCGAAATCAGAGAGTTAAAGAGGAATAATGATCGCAAATATATTCATAAATATATATCCCGATTTCTTTTATCTTAAGAATAACATTGATTAAAATTCTCATTGCATACAATTACTATTAAATATGATTAGATGATTACTTTGATCGTGAAATGATAATATGTGGCTAGTAGAGTATATTTCATAATTTTATAATAATTATATATACAAAATTTACGACATATTTATGTAAAAAATTTAGTTGATTTATACAAAATTTGCATACGTAAAATATTTACATACAGTTGAAAAATTTGGCTCAAATTTAATATATATTGCATGTCCCAAACATTTCATACAAATTTTTGTGTTAATTTAACATGATATGGATATGTTAAATGATGACACTAATACTATGTTAATATTTCAACAAAATAAATGCAAACTTCTTAGTAACTTCAAATAAATTTTGTAAAATCAACATATTTTTAATGATAAAATTAACTTAGAAAAAAATTTATCGACGGTCTGTAGTCACTCTCACTCCTATTATAGAATAAAATCAACAATTTTTTTCTATCAGTTTTAACAGATAAATCCTGTCACTAATAATACGGAACATATTTATTATGTAAAAATATGCGCACATTGTGTTATTTTTACACTTTTTTGAAATTATTTTAATAATTCAACGTTTGATGAACACAACAACAATATATTAAATTAACACATAAATGTGTTAAATATTTGACACAATTCAACCGGCATATTTTTAACAAAAAAATATAAATTTTCCAATTGTAAATATGTTTCTTAAAATCTTACCTAATAGTTAGCGCAAAGTTGACTATTAGCACTTTTACCGCTATTTCCGGAGTATAATGCGGATTTGATAATCTCGTAGTTAGATAAAGACGAAAATCGAAGTTATAAGGTACGATATTTTCGCCAATTTTAATACTCAATTGTCCGGCATGCGTGAATAATGAACGCATAAGAATCGGATCTAGGGCAGCCTCCAATTCGGTACCGACGTTTTCGATTAAACAAGGTTTTCCAATACGTACGGAATTTTCAATGATGCGTAATAGATTCTTATCTGTTATTTTTGCTATTACAAGTCCGATTGGCTTGTACTGAAATTAGGAATTATTTGATCGATTAAAAGAATAGGGGAAATATTATCAAGTATTTTAAACAATGACTGAAAAAAGATTAGTGTGACAATTATTTAATGTATTAAACTAATATAATAAATATAAAAATTAATATATAAATTTAAATTTGATAACTCTAAAAAGTTATGACACATAATATATAGCGTTTTACGATATATTCCTATAGAGATACATAAATATATATACATAATACATATATGAATATTTGTAGGAGTTATTGCTTTATCAGATAAATTCAATACATTTCAACAAACATTATTGCATTATCGAATAAAGGGACAACTGACGCACAAATATAATAAAATATTTTAATACATTTTCATTATAATAATAATACCTCATAAATTGTGATTTTATACAGTTATTGTAATTCCATCTAAAATACATTTATAATTTAGTTGAGTTTCAGTTTTACGCTGTATCTTATTATAAAAATTTCTTATCAGCAGATACGTAAAATTTATTGTAGAGCATAGATTGGACAGAAAATATAAAAAAGAATTTATCGTGTGTTTTTACAATGTAATACTCACCATATTACGTATCCATTTATTTGCCTGCGATTGAGGGTCAATGAAAAGAGGCCATCGCTTTGAATTCATCACGAGTACCGCGTTTTCCACGGATAGGGCATCTCTCGGTAAGCCATTAATGTGCCAATTTCTTATCTCCACCTGATTGCCAAGTGTCAATACCGGCTTGCTGCCCGGAGTGTGAGGCACGTCATCGCCGAGAGCATTGTACCAGATTGCCAGGAGTTCCTGGCGGTAGGTGTCCGTAAAGGGCGTCAAATACGCTATCGCACCTATAATAAGGTGAAAGCTTTTAACGTAAAGGGATTGTGTGAAATGAGGCTTGTTCTTATTAGAATGAACAGAGCTCTATTGCGGACATTCGATTAAACTGATGAATCCAAAGCTTTGTCAATCCTCTCGTTAATAGAACAGTAAACAATTGAAACGACCAATAAACCGTAGATAGTGTAGCGTCATTTCCGATGGCTTTTACACTGGCAGAAATCAGTATCAAGAGAGAAAGAGAGATACGTGTTAATATTTAACAATACTATACAAGTAATGTTTTCGACTTTATAAATAAAAGACATCGCATTTAGAAACAAAAATTAAAAGCTTCTGTAAATATACGTAATATCTTTATTAGTAATTCTTATTTTTATATCTTGATTTCTCCTTTGCCATAATAAAAGAACATTGTATTGACAATAATTTTTATAATTATATATAAATTATTATTAACTTTTTAATTATGGAATATGAAAGAAATTTAATATTAAAAATGTGATATAGTCGAATATATAGCTCGCTAATAAAACTCGCTAAAATTGTGATATAAATTGTATTTTTTAAATCTTTTTTGTGTAAGACTTTTATGGAAAATTTCGCTTTCTCATATCTGACAGAATCAAATTAGTGTCACTGTTTTCTTTGCAAAGAGTAAGTTCCCTTAAGGCCTAGCGAGAAAATCAGATTTACGCGAATGACTGTGATTTTATCGTAAACGTCACATTAAATCTGTTAAAGAGGATCTTACGGAATTTTAGGGAGCGATGTTCTTAACGGACTGGTCCCAAAAAAAAAAAAATTATATACGACAAATTATATTATATAATATGTCTTTCAAAATATTAAACAATTATCAATAATAAGTTTTAAATCATTATGCATGTTATTTATTCATATTTATTCATATTTATTTTTAATTTAGCGGCATTTTTAATCTAAATTATGAACGAGTGACAGGAGAAAAAGAAAAAGGAGAGAGAGAGAGAGAGAGAAAGAAAGCTTTGTTTTTCTCTTGACATAATCGATTTGTTTTTTTTAAATAGACTGAAATATAATAATCAGTGTATGTTTTGTGTGACTTACATTTATTAAAAATTTAAAATTAAACGTTATAGAACACTACAATTATGCATATTATATATTAAAACAAGAGTTATTAAAATATTTTTGATTTTACAGAAATTATAATTTTAATAACAATTACATATGTATAACAATGTAACTTTGTTCTTAAAAAATTAAGATATGATTCATAATATCAAAATTTTTTTACTGCGAGTGTTATTAGTATTTTTTAAATAAGATATAATATATATATATATATTATTAATTT